GAGCTCAAGTTACTTCGATTAAATATTTGTTTTTGCGTTCAACAATCCTATTTCGTTGTGGGGTATAAGGACACGAAATATTGTATGTGATACCTTATTCAGATAAAACTATGCCATTTCTCCTTTAGAGAGCTCAAGAGCTCCATCCCACTGAATATACTTTATTTTTTATGGAGAACAGATTTTCAACATGGCTCTTGAAATGACGAAGTAAAGCAAGAGCATTTGCTTTATGTGAAACGGATAAAGTCAAGTAAATTGACTCATTAATCAATAAAAGATATGAAACATCTAGAACCCGAGTGGGAAACAATTGGAGATGGTCCCCAAAATATTATCTGAATGAATTGTCTCCAAATGTATTTTGCTATATGAATGGTTTTAAAGAATATGGTAATCTACTTTTCCTTGCAACATTACAAGCATTACACGACTTTATTGTACTGCTTTTATACAAAAAAGGAAGCTTTGTAAAAATACAAGAAGCCTGATATCCAAGTCTAAAATGCCAAAGTCTACTTGATGAAAAATCTAAAACATCGTCAGCAATAAATATATAAAGGTTCTTGCTACTATATGGAATGTAATGGAAAATTTTCCATATCCACATCTTAATAAAGAAACCATGACATGAGAACTCCATAAGACATATGTTATCTTTAACAAGCTCAACGAGGGAAAAAAGACTTTTAGTCAAATGTGGGAATAAAAATACTCTTGACATTTCAAGAGTGTATTTCAGAAGATGTAACATAAAGTAACAAATATGAGTTATAGTGAGTGATGTACCATTTATAACAATTACGCATCCCAAACCGGTATAAGGCATAACTCCATCAACAGGCTTTGGATTTGGTTTCATACAAGCATATATTAAAGAGAACCTGAATAAAAAAGCAACATTTATTGAAAACTTTAATTATCCTGTTCGGGGAAATATAATTGGACCAATTTGGATGTAAAGAAACCCAATTAAGAAAATTACCTGTGACAACTTTTTTTTTTGTAAATGTAAGTTGTAATTGTTAAATGGTTGGAACTAGAGGCCACCTTGTCCTTTGAGTGTCAACTACGCGGATAAACATTGTTTTGTTTCACGATATGGATATTCCTTAGTCCGGATGTCGGTTACCTCGATAAACATTATTTTGAGCATGGTGGGCTTAGTCAGAGATAATGTGAGAAGGCCCCTATTATCACGGATACAAACGTGTGCCTCATCCTATGGTAAAGTTGTTGATTGCAACAAAACTGGAGAATCATCATGAAGTTTTAGCATAACCCTACAATACAAAATCCCAAATTCTTCGACCAAAGTTTTATTTTCTCGTATGCTGAAAAAACAATGTAATGCAATGCAACTGACAACAAAAATGATCTTAGAATAGAGCTTTGGTAGTGATGTTAGACCTCCAAAGTGCCCAAAAACATATTTTCTTCATCACTTTGTGCAATTCATCCCACATTCTTGTCAGCTCTCAGTCATGATGGATGTTCAGTTTTCACTCATTTCTTCAACTTCTTATCATATGTATGTATACTCAATACTTTCATCAGAGTATGGTTATGTGTATTTTAATGCTTCGTTAAGTCTTCAAGTCAACTGCAGGACTATCCAGCGAAGGACTCAAGCGAGTTCCACATGCCATAGGAACCTTCGTCCGAACAATTAGTCATTCCAAAGCGTTCAAGCAAAATTTTCATGTAATTCTCTTGATTGATAAAAATACCTTCTTTTCTTTGTCGAATGTTTAATCCCAAAAGTTAATTTATCTTACCCATCATACTCATCTCAAACTGAATTTTCATCAATTCCTCAAATTCCTTTGACAGAGAAGGGTCAGTAGAACCAAAAATTATATCATCTACACAAATCTAAACAAGCATGAGATAATTCCAAACTTTCTTTCTAAATTACTTGGGTTCAACTGATCATTGCTTAAATTTAGAGATCTTTACAAAAATAGTTAAGGTTGCATACCAAGCTCATGGTGCTTGTTTCAATCCATAAACAATTTTGTCAAGGATGTAACTATGATTAGGAAACTTATCATTCATAAATCAAGGTGGTTGCTCAACATAGACAATCTCTTCGAGTACACAATTTAGGAATGCACACTGTATGTCCATTTGGTACACATCGAATTTCTTGTGAGCTGCATAAGAAAGAAAAATATGCATTGCTTCGAGTCTTTTGACAGGAGAAAATGTTTCTTCATAATCAATCCCTTCTTGTTGACAATAACCTTTTACAAGTAATATTGTCTTACTGCGAACCACACTTCCTTATTTATCAACTTTGTTTTTGAAAACTCATTTTAAACCAACCATAGAAACACCTTCTGGTTTAGGAATTAGTCTCCAAACTTTTTTTCTTTCATGATTCAGCCAATTTATATTGCATTGCAACAACCCAATCAGGATGTTTAAATGCAATCTTGACTATTTTCGGTTCAATTTTAGAAATAAAAACATTGAACATGCAAAAATTTTGGTGAACATTAAGAACTTCGTTTATTTCTCTAACATGTGATCTTGTTAACACACCAGAATTAGGATTACCAAGAATTTGTTCTTTGGGATGATCACGGGTCCATTTCTCCAGGGAGGAAATGATGGATCAAAATCCAAATCAGCATCTTCAAATTCTTGCGGAAAAATTATAGAGATCAATCGAAGAATTACGTTTTCACTTGCGGAAAAATTGAATAAGAACAAATGATTCAATAAAATGAAAACGAGAATGAGATTCTTCAATCGATTTGTCGATTTCTGCTCTGATACCAATTGAGCTTTTTAAGGAGGTGTGCTTGTAACTTGAGTTTTTTGCATACTAAAGACCTTCTATAGTTTAGCATACAACGACACCTCCTTAATAAGTTTAACCAATGAGAGATTATTTTAACTTGAGATAAAAGTTCCCACATGTCCTCCATTTTTTGTCCTTATTTCACAAAGAGGAAAGATGTCGGTTTCTCTTAGAGCCGAGGGGTATGGCGCAACAGTATCATCCACGTCATGCTCCCAATCTTATTTTCTCAAGTGATACCAAACCCAAAGATCAAGAACACATTCCACATCCGTCTGATGTATCATCATTATCCACATTAGGGGAAGTTACAGCTTAATCATATTCCACCATTGAATTGTCACCACATAAGGTGTGTTAACGATTGAATATATAAGATGAATAACAGTTATATAATTGTGGGAAAGATACTAAGGGCCCTACTTTTATCACTACAATACTTGACCATATTAACTTTTGTATGTTTAAATACACATTTGTCATAAGAATCACTGTTATATATAGGCACCACAATCAAATGTTACCTTGTAAGATGTAGGGGTGAACATGGTGCGGTTTGGTGCGGTTTTAGGGTCAACCCGAACCACAAACCGCAAGGTGCAGTTTTTGAATTCTAGAAACCGTTGGGTGCGGTTTTTCAATGGTTCGGTTTTGCGGTTTTTGAGTGCGGTTTCGGTTTGTATAGGTTCGGTGTCGGTTTGAAACCGAATCAAACATATGGGGTGGTTTTTTATGTTCACCGGTACGATTTTTTTACCGTGGTTTTCATGTGAAGATTTATGGTTGTATGACATGGTGTCATTTCATCTCCTCACATTTAGAAGCTATAACTTTGAGTATTTTATGTTGTTTACTTGATCACTTCATTTGCAACCCATATTTCCAAGCTCGTTTTTTTATTCAATTTGTGCTTAGAAGTTACAAGCTTGCAAGTTGTAGCCCACATAGTTTTTACACTTTATACAAAATCATTAAGTCACAAACACAAAGTACCAAACTCACATATTAAACATAATACCTAATTACTAATTACCGTCAAGTTCAATATATAATATATGTATAAAAATTAGAATTTATTAGTTTTTTAAATAATATGTATAATTGTATAATATAAATTAGTAATTTATTTTATTGTTAATAAGCTTGCGGTGCGGTTCGGTTTTGGTGGTCCGGTTTCTAGATAGAAACCGCACCGCACCAATAAATTCGGTTTTTCAAAAAAATAAAATCTGCACCATCGGTTTTTGCGTCGGGTTCGGTTTTTCGGAGGCGATTTATTGCGATTTTTGTGGTTTTTCTTTTATCGGTTCGGTTTTTGCTCACCCCTAGTAAGATGTTAACGGAGCAAATTGCATAGCTTTTGGACTCGAATCAAGCATGACACACAACATTCATGCATTATTCCTAGATGTAATTTGAGTTGCAACAATCTTGGAAGAGCTAGTGCTGTCAGTCGCCACATATATGATGTGGCATCATCATATAGAGATATCTAAGCACAATGTTGATTGAGCACTTGTTCTTGTCTCTCATCTTCAAGTTTTAACTAATCCATAATATTTCAATGCACTGATTCTAATTTGTTGTTGGATTGGTTCCATGATAACATGCTCAGATTTCAGAAAAATATAATAACAATTTGCCTGTTATTAACATTGTGAAATGCTAACTCAGAACATGATATAATAACAATTTGCCTGTTATTAACATTGTGAAATGCTAACTCAGAACATGATATAAAGTAACATTCATTTAATCACACATATGCACGCTGATTATTGCAGCAATTTTAGTTTATATTTTTTCTATGAGTAGTATTGGCTTGTGTATCTTTTGGTTATAACCAATCAGTTTTCTTAAAATATAATTTAACAGTCATATAATATTTGATACCATGCATCATCCCACAATGATTTAATAACATTGACGAACAAATTGGCATATAATTGAATAGCTAAATAAATGGTGCTTGATGAGTAATCATATCACAAACAGTGACAGTGTTATCTTTTTTTAGGTGAGGTGGCAACTCATTATAAAAGGAATGTGTATTATTACAATATTACTATTATAATATTATATCATCATATGTTGTTACTGTTAAGTGTGTTAGCAACTGAAATGACCATTCAGAGAGAGAACGATAGTGGAGAACGCAATACATACTCAAATTATTGCTTCATGATATGTCTAAAGAAAAAAGATCAGCAGTTCCTCATTACTCTTTCTTTCTGTATTATTTACTAGATTGAATTTCAACAACCTTAGTAGATAATAATAAATAAATAAATAAATAATCAGTAAATATTAAACCTATTTCTTTTTATGGTTATTGATGTTACAGTTAGACTTGTGTAACAACATTAAGTAAGAACAATAATTTTACAATCTGGATCGGGAATCCTTTTTAGGAGGAGGGGTGGGGATATGCAAAGCATCATAATGACCAAAACCATGGTACAACACTCTGATTGGATTTGGATCATCTTTCTTATGACTACTACTACTCTTGTATTCATCACCATATTCTGCAATACATATCAGACCACCTGAATCCGCATCACTCATATACACCCAAATTGGCATCCTGTAATTTCATACATTATATATCATTTATACAGCCAAAAAACCCTACACAATTTATAATATAAAACCCAACCTCACCAAAAAGTAAGACTCGCAATCTAATTAACATTATTAATTATTAAGAGACTTAAGCTCGTAAAAGTAATTAAGCATAAAGAATGATTATGGTTAGTAGAATTATATAAGTTGTCATGGAGTGTGCTTGAATGTGATACCTTGGAAAAAGATAAGGGCAAAATGTCCAATCGGATAAATTCAACATTTAGGCTGTTGTTAACTTAGACGACCACCCAGGGACTAAAAACGTTCAGATACAATGAATTAGGGATCAAAAAAGAGAAAAGATTCCTTTTTGGACCAAATCCAGACAAATCTCTACAGCACAAAGAAGAAGGAAGAAAAACGTAATTTACTTGAAGGATAATGACTTAAAAGGATAATATGCCTTTCGATTTGTATCACAGCATCCTACGTAGGACAACCATTAATGAGATGTTCAGGGTTGTTGATGCTTATGGCCACTGTGGCCTCGACAGCTTGGTTACTTAGGTCTTGTGTTTTGAATGTTGTAACTTTTTATATGATATTTATATCCACATGTTTGTATTTGAGTCCACTACAATTTTCGTTTAATTTACTCCCGTTAAAAAGTAATATATTTTTTACTTACGATCTTTATATACATGCGTTCTTAATGAATGTATGTATGAAGGTTTTTTTTTTTTATAAAATGGTAAGTAAAACTATATTACTTTTTAACAGGGGTAATCTAAACAAAAATTGTAGTAGACTCAAATACAAACGTGTGAATATAATGATCATAGAATCCGAGATCGTATGAATAAGTTACGGCGTTCGTAACACAAGACCTAAGCAACCAAGTAGTCGAGGCCGCGGTGGCCATAAACATCAACAGCCCCGAACACCTCATTAATGGTTGTCCCACGTAGAAGGCCATGAGAAAAACTTAAAGAAACTAGTCATAAGTACTGAATGTGTACAAAAACAACAAGGACTTATTTTGCAATAAAAAAAATATATTAAAGATTAAATGTGCAAAAAAATGTTAAGGACTAAATGTGTAGAAAATGAGAAATATATTACCCTATTAAGTCTTTTTTTTTCTCCGGCTTACCTGTAGCCGGTTATAAGGACTGAATGTGTACAGTTTAAACAAGTTGAAGGGGTAAATGTGGACGGAAAAAAAACTCAATGACCAAATGTGTACAAATCAAAAGTATATTATTACCCTTTTATGTCATTCTCCCTTTATTTTATATGATGATTTAACATGGAAATACGCTATGACTAATGACATTAAGTTCAGGTGTCTAAATGATCTTTACAATGACAAAAGTTTATTTCATCAACAAGCAAATCTTGCTCTTTACTTATTCAAACACTAACAACACAAAACTTAAAATGTACTAGGTTTAAACTGGTATTTTTATTAGATCACTTGTTGATTATCAAAACTTTAACGGTTTAACCATCAATTAATGTAACCTGGAAAATTATTGCTTCCTTGTATTTTCTTGCTCTTCTTAAACCGCTATTAAACATGCAATACATTTCCAGTTTACTTTACTTCACTTCCTACCTCTCTTAAAAGAAAACTAATTTCAACATTACTTTTGCATCAACACGCTAGCATACATACCAGTATTACCACACATGCATCTTCAATATTTAACAGCATATTAGAACCTTATATGAATGAAAACACCAATATACTTGTAACAATCCCCCATTGTGGTGTGTGTGTGTGTGTGTGTGTGAGAGAGAGAGAGAGAGAGAGAAGGATTTACTTGAGAACATGAGAAGCCATGAGTAATTCAGGTTCCCCTCCCCATACATGTGTCTTCCTCATTTGTGACACATATGAAGCAAAGTCATCTTCAATAAACCTAAATGAAATCAGAATCCAGAAAGCCCCCTCCATATCAGAACTAGTCAGAATATATATATATATATATATATATATATATATATATAATTGTGAAGGTACAAGAGAAATCCCACACATCTCACCATTCAGTTTCTTCCCGTCTTTTAACAAATTCATCTGCCACCTATAAAAGTGCCACATCAAAAATATATATCAATACAGAGCAAAAAAAAAAAAAAACATAATGATTTTTAAATCAAAATTCTTAGATGTAGTATATGAATAACATACCCTGGCACGCAATTCATCAGCCAACTCTCTTTGCATTCTCTCACTAGGAGCAGGCTTCCCTGATCGTATACATGCTCCATGTGCAACAGCCCGAAACAAACATCTCCCATCTCCAGGTATTCCTGTACACAGTCCAATGCACACCAAACACAGTACAACCTGTTCTGTCAAGTCGTATCTAGTCATAAGTCATAACAAACGGATGTACTACAACTTAGCTCACCTATAACAGAATAATCAGTATGAACTTGCTTTCCATGTGAAAAGTTAGTATTTGATGAACTACAGTCGTCTTCTTCCTTCTTCTCTTCTGCTTCAGCATATGATGGCTCAGAACTTGAACTGCAAACAGCTAATCCCATTGCAACCCCAGCTGATGCACACCCTTGTGTCCAAGATCCAGGTACCAAACTCCATTTCATTCTAGAGATGATTCCTTGTTTTGGAAATAAAAGCCGTAAGTTCATACTGCGGGACCCCAGTGAAAGATCAAAGCGTGTCTTTTGTGTCCCGCTTCTGGATCGCATAGCAGTTTTGATGCTTAACAACTGCCAGTTGTTGTTGCTGTTGCTCCTAGGGTTTGCAGTAAGAGAGTGGCGGGAGTTTGTCTTCACAACATGATTTGGTTTCACACATCCAAGTGAGAGATGAAAACAGCATGAACTTGATGCAGATTGAGGCATCACACTGTTGATGGGCCCACTTGGATGGACGAAGGGTTTCACACAGGTTTTAATGGTGGAACGACCAATCATGATGTCATGACTCCGGTTTCAACCTGAATCGCTGTACAAGCAAATCAATTGGATGATATCTAAATGCATAAATTCCAATATTCATCGATTTCAGATAGAACAAACCAGCAGAATCAGAATAAAACAGCATAAAGTAGAAGCAGCGATGGTGGATGTTGATGCTTCGATTCTAATTCATGGCATATATTCAAACCAAGACAAATTAGTGGTGGTAGGATCCGCAGGCGATAACGGTTTAATCCGAAGATCTTATGGCTCATAAAGTAAGTCGTCAAATTTGTTTAATATTAAATCTATGAGAGAATTGGTAATTCGGATTTTTTACAACAAAAAAAAACAGATAACTTCAGCACACTTTCATAAGATCAAAACATCCACTGTGAAAGAGAAATGTAGAGGCGTATAAATAGGAGGAAATTGAAAAGGAACATACCTGTTGAACAACGGAAAATGAATTTATTATTGGTAAAGAGGAAACCCTAATAAGGAATTGGTTTGAAATTGGAGAGATGGAATCAAAGAAGGAGAAAAGATGTGGGTTAAGGAAAGAATGGAATCGAACCTGATAACATCTCATCTTGCTGGAACTCTCTTGAAGCTTCTTCTCTTTCAACACCTTCATGATTATCAAACCCCTAATTTCTCGATTTAAAAATAAATGCAATATCAAATAGTTAAAAATTAAAATTAGTACTTTGCTAAAAATCAGCTTTCATGCACGAAATTTATTTAAAGATATGGGATTTGGGCGTGTTGGGTTTATTTAAGGAGGTTAATAGCAGTTTCATATCGTTATTAGGGTTTATTTAAGGAGGTTATTAGCAGTTTCATATCGTTATAAGTTAAAAAATATTTTGATAAAAATAGTTTAATGCGGTGAGAAACTGCTAATAAATCATTTTTTATAAATTATCTCACTTTAACTTATTAGCTTATAAGCTAATAAGCTATGAAGCTAGAATAATCGCGGGAAGTTATGTCATGATTATATGCGAGATGTATCAAGAAAGTATGGTTGAAAAATAAATAGGTATATATCAACATAGTTATATGAAGCAATTTCAGGAGATAGCGAAACTAGGAAGGAGTAATAGTATGTATAAGTGAGTAAATACTAAATGCAAATGAAAGTTTCAAGTATATAAGGTTTATGGCTCCTCATCCATTTCATCCTACCACTACTCGATCTTGTGATAATACTCAATGGCCCAAAAACACTTGACAACCATTTCATGTATAAAGCTCAAATCCATCCTACTACTGAGTGCAATATGTTTGCTCAAGTCAATAATAGCTAGGTTGGATACCATGAGAGTTTAGATTTTTTTACTTCACTCTAAAAAGATTGAGGATGTTATTAAGCTCAATGATACAATATTATAGGGTGCAAATAGACAAGTATAATCCAAATGGTTGGACCGGTCCGTATGAAGCACGACTTGTCATGATGGAGGTTTCTTTGACCGAGGATCGTGACTATATAGAAACATCTAATTCTATAGTCAAATTCACAACTATCCATCTTGTTCTTTATGTTGTTTTTTCTCATAGTTGAGATACTAGACTTTGTAAAAACAATGTATATAGTTCAACCACCATGAATCGTGGAGTACTCATCGAGATCATGTGTTCTTGATTAAGAGGTCCCTATATATGCTTAATCAAGACCTTTCCCTTTCTTTTAGTTTGCAAAGTTATCTACAAATTTGTTATTTTTTGGATTGGATCGATCACTCTTTGATATTTATTTATTTGTTGCACCTCCATGATATATATATATATATATATATATATATATATATATATATATATATATATATATATATATATGATATCATTAACATTAGGATGTTATATTAGTATATTAATATATTACATAGTTGATTCCCAAAAGTCATCCTCATGTCATCCAATAACTTGCTTCTTTGCAAGTTTACTTTTTAGATGATAAACATGGTAAAAACAACACAATATTTGGACAATATTTTTTGACATTTTCTTACAATCATTCATCAAGTATAATTTTATCATATACATAGAAAAAAAATGTGAAACCAACATCCTATCATTGTGGAGAAAACATTATGGTTTATTTATTCTCCAAACACAACATGTAATCCCTCTATTACGATGATGAAAAAAAAGGAGATAAAGGGCATCTTGATGGGTTATGAGCACTACAACATTCATATGGTGTACATACAAACCCTAAAGCTTTGGATCTAGTTTGTCTAATGAACATGGAATAATCATTCAAAGCCATAAACCCTAGATCTAGCATGTGATAATCGATATTAACATAAGAATAGGGTTTAGATCTTACCTTTGATTGTTATGTAGTAATAACAATCTATTCCTTCTTGTAATTGACTTCTGAAAGCTTAGAGTCACAAGTGTCACTCCTCTAATGGCTCACAAACACCAAGAGCAAGAGGATGAAGAAGGAGAAGAGGAGAGGCACTCAAAAACGTCTAGAAACCCTAAGGAAACAGTTCCACACGTTTTTAGTGCTCTAGGGGTCATTATATATGTGAGGCTATTAGGGTTTTGAACTAGGAAACCCTAATCTGACTGCTTAGGCCCTAAGCAGCCCATGGACTCCCTTTAGAACACCCCTTAGACGAATTCCTTATGGGCTACCCATATAATTCGTCCAACCTATGTTCCAAGGTGATCCATAGCCCAAATGCAATTATCTTATAATTACAATTCCAGTCCCCTAAGTTTAATTAATGTCTTTTAGCCACAAAATTAATTATTATTAATTCTTGACTAATATTAATTAAACAATATGATTTCTCTTTTAATATATAATTCATATAATATATTAATAAATAATAATTAATCTCTTTCTCCACAAATCATCCTATCAAGTTGCTTTGGTGAAGGCAACCCAAAATGACCATGCTCGCAATCGGGTCAAGTACATACCAAAATAGTTATGGGCGTAGACACTAATCCAACAGTCTCCCACTTGGATAAGTCTAATAACTATTCTGCGTATGACTTCAGATCCTGATCAGCAATCGTAGCTTTCAAAAGCCGCTGTCAACTCTGATCTTATCAGATACACGCCCTTTAGATAAGGGATAATATATTCCTCCATTATAGATATCGTATAGACGTGAGACATGGATTGAAATCATTCTCTCAGTCTATGTGTTGTTTCCCGATTTCCGATTTATGACGACTGACTAATTGAACAAATCAAATCAGTCCTGGCCCGGACGAGCGCTTTCCTTTGTCATCACTAAATCATCGAGGGGCCCACAGATATCGCTTTTATCCCACTTTGGGTAAAAGGAACGGATAAACTTCGACTCAATGCTCGCTTGCACTCACTCACCGAATCACACACAACAATACGTTTTATAACACCAAGTTACTGGTGCGTTTACATATTATCAATGTGTAACCGACTTGCAAGATACAACTCACACATCTCGGTTTCAAGAATATAAGATATTATCGTCTCACCAATCACTCGTGATAAAATCCAAGAAGCGATCCAAGTGAGCGTGGGTTTAATCCAATGCTCAAATCATATTCGTAAGCACTCATGAACGTTGTAGCAAACTTTTGCTATGTCTAATACACTTTAGACAATCTACACACCAATTCATGACAATCTTCTTTCATACCTACTCCCAAAGTATGAGCGACTGTGAAACGTTCGAATAATCTTATTATTCAGGAAGTCAAAAAAAGCAAATTGAAACACAAGAATAATACTAATCTTATATGGCCCCAAACTTTTGAGTATAAATAAAACACTTTTATTTAATCACCATATTGATTACTCATTATTTGTTGTTTCGGGTAATCAACTTCTTACTTGAATTATAACGACAATTGTCCCATGCTCTTAGCATGCACACTATGTTTATTTATGGTCCTTACTTTGTGAAATAGTATAATTGAATAACATTTTCAATCACACTCATTTCATAATTCCCAATCCTTACCACAAGTGTGAGAATACCAAATTCTTACCACTTATAGAATATGTTAGATTCTAACATTTTATGCAATGGTCCTTTCGTAATACCACGACACAAAAGTCACCAAGACTCGGCCAATGAAATTACAAAATGCTCTATTGGAGATTGTTACAAGACAATTCCATAGATGTGAAGTCTCACATTCACTGTACATTCCTTTGAACATCCTTCTTGCAAAAAAGTTTTTCTAGACATACAAATTCTTAACGTCCAACTCCCAATATGGAAACATTTCCATATTTTCCATATGACAATTCATTTTAAATGGAATCTTATCTATTCATAATAATGTCAATATGGTCCATCCATGACTATACTTCTAACTGTCCACAAGTGACCAATCCTTGGCGAACCTTAGATTCTCTTTGACAGTTGTTTAACTAATTCAGTCAAATCCGATTCTAGTCCTCTTTCCCTCTTAATGCCCTAGGCATTTGGAAAATATTAGAATGGTCGAATATTACAACGACATGATACTTTACCAGTCTTTTGCTATAATATTTCTATTTCTATTTGCCACGTTCTCACGATTCGAACTATGAAGAGGGATGCCGTAATCATAATCGAGTGTGAGAACGCAACAATTATTTCCATATATAGAATTCTCTTACGTTGAATCCTTTCAACATAACATTCATATATCTTTTTGACTAAATTTGATCAAAATTTATCGATCTAAACCTTTAGATTTGAAACAAAGTATAATATTCTCTCCCTTAATTATAGCAAAACAACTTTTCAACCTATGCTGTAACGACCATAATTTCCCTGTGTCAGCGACGTTAGTTTCCGTTACGTGAATAATTACTTTTGTTGTAGATGATTTTTGTTTATGATTATAAATTGAAATTAAATAAATAAAATCCCTTTATAGTGAAAATAAGGTCAAGGGGGTGAAATTCATATAGTTAAAGTGTTAAAATTAATGCTTTTGTATATTGGGTTTAAAGTATTTTTACAATCAAAGTTAAGGGACCAATTTTGTAAATATTCCTTTAACTCCTAAATTGCAATCGAGGATTACGTAACTTGGTTTCGTATTGCTTTACGACCGTTTCTGTTTCCCTTATGTGCGAAGCAATATTGGACGATCCATATCAATTGTTGGACCGTTGTTGGGGCTGAAGTTGATCGGCAGTGAAGAAAGAAAAAAAAAACGCATATAACTCCTCCGGGTATTTTTGATCGACGAGTTTAATGAGATTGCATCCGTTTCTTGTTGGGCTACCATCGTTTACCTCAAGAACAATCCTAAATCATCTTTGTGACATTGCTGCTGTTGTGCGTCGTTCTCAGTAGAGTGCGAAAAAATAAAAGAAACCGAACATTCCCTTTGTTTGCGTCGACAGCAAGAGAGGGAGAAAGCGAGAGAGGGGTAATCGGTACCAAAAAGAAAAAAAAAACGTGATCGGTTGGAGGATTTTCGGGCAGCGACGAACCGAGAGGCAGGTGGGTGGAGAGCTGCGATTTTGGGTCAATTCGGGGTCTAGGAAATCATCCTTGGTAATCCTTTAATTTCCTTTTGTGAAATTCATTAACCAATTGATGAGAATTGGTTAATAGCATTGTCAATTCCTTTCTTTTTGGTGTTATTGATCATATCATCTTCTTCCTTACAATCTTTGAATGTTCATATGTTTAATTCTAGTTCTATTGGG